TCCCCCCCCCCCCCCCCCCCCACACACACACACACACACACGTGTTTTGGGTCCCAGTGCCTTCCTTTTTTCCTGGACATTTTGGGAGTGCCTCCATGCATTTTCCATGAAGGAAGTTCTTAGATGTGAAGAACACAAGCATGGCACATAATAGTAATGCAGTGTACAAGTGTTTTCTTTTTTATCCTAGTCCCTGCTGCAGATGTTAGTGCCCCTACTTCTTTGTCACTGGTCTGCTCTTTTCTGGGTTTTTTGCAGCTATCTAAGGTTCGCTTTCATTGAGAGAGGTAAGAATTTCTTAGGGTGATATCTTTTATTATCCCAACTACATAGTTGGTCGAAAGTTAAACATACTTTCAAATACAAGACTTGAGACCTGATGAAGCATATCTTGGACTACTGTATGCCTACCTACAAAGAGAGCAGTTTTACAGGTGATGAGATACAGCAGCAGCACACGGCTGGTGGGGGATGGAGCTACAGTGACCACCATGAGCCACAAAGCCCTGACCAGAGCTCCCTTCAGGGTGCTGCACTCCTGCTTAGACACCAGGTGGCACTGCTCTGCTTTGCCTGTCCTACAACAGTAGCTCCACCTTCTTCATAGAATTGTAGAAAATCCCATCTCCTATGACTTCTTCTTGCAAAACTTTGTTATTGGAGTGTTCAGCAAGAGTAGAAACTGTTTTCATATTCAATTTGTACCTTTCATGTATGACATTGTGTTTACCCATGAAAAGGGACATCGAAAGGCTCTTGGGGCACATCCCCATGCGCAGGAACCTGCGTTTCCCCGGGGACAAACGGCAGTGGCACAATGTGTGCCCCTGCTACATCTCCCTGGGGAATGCCTGTGCCACGCATGTTTTGGCATGTGGCACATTGCCCCAGGTGGGCCTTACCTGGGGTCTTGGGGACCTTTGGGAGCTGCAGCCATGGTGATCCTGCGGCAGGGAGCTGGGCCAGCAGCCAGAATGTTGCTCCAGCTGGGGAGTCCCTGGTTTTGGGTGGCATGTGCCGCTGCCCCGCTTCTTTTAGGTACAGGTTTTTTTAACCCCAGGATCTCCTCTGGTCAACCCCCCCCCCCCCACACACACACACCACAAATTAGCAGCGCAGGGAATGCCTGCATGTGCAGTGTGCGGCACCACAGATGGGTCTGCAGTGGTGCACACTGTGTGTCTGTGCTTGTCTGGATACGTCCTTATAATCTATATCCATTCTTTACTGGTGTTTGTGACAGGCTTGTTGCCGCCGAGGTGGCCATGATGCCCCTGTCGTTCCTGCCTGGCGCACGCTCAAATGCCACTCTCCTTGCATTACTTGCCTCCCACATCTTGTTCTTAAGTATTGTAGGATAATTCAGGGAGGCTGCCAACAGGCCGTAGAGTGAGCCCTAATCCCTATAAGTTTCCCTTTAGTCTCCCCTGAGACCCCACTGGTCTCAAACCAGTCATTAGGCTTGGTAAGTCCCTCTCAGCCTGACTAGGGCACCAAGAGCCTTAAGGGTAAACTGTGTGGCCCCTTCACACCC